CAACCCTATATAGACTATATAGTCAACGCAGAAGGTTACACAACAAAGACGCGCGAACATATAGTACCAATCTATCTATCGATCCTGCCTTCAAAAGAAAATCTATCTATCGATCCAATCAAACCTCTGTCCAACCGATAGCATGTTCGCTGGGTCGTAAACGATCGTGGATTATAAACCAGAATAGTATTTTTCTCTCACACTAAACCAGCCAGCAGTAATAATCTACGATCGTATACGATCGTATCAGCATCAGCCGAATAGTCTACGAACCGTTACAGCAGCGCGTAGATCATGCGGGCGCGCGCTACCGAACTATTGTATGTATAAGAGAACACGATTACACGAGCCGCGCCGCGTCGAAACTGGCCACCCCGGCCTTCGAATTGAACGCGTGGCTTTCCTCGCGTCGCGTCGCGTCCGCGGGGGTGACGTCGCGGTGACGGTGGTTGCAGATGACGAGCACGGCGGCGGAGTCGATCTGACCTGACCGGTGGATCGAAACGGAGGCGAAAGATTCGACCCACTAGGCACCAGCCACCAACATGGATGCGCATGCGGGCCATCCCCTGTCGGCCAACGGCCGAGGCGGAGACGGACACGGCACCGATGGGCAATGGCTGGCCGGTCGATCGAATCGGGTGGCCCAGCCCAGGCTCACGGTCTCGGTCTCGGTCGCTCGGAGGAGACGTTCGCGTTCGGCACCCATCCGCGCGCGCCTTTTGCAGAAAAGTTGCAGCGGCGATTGGCTTGTGGCGCACCGGTGTCGCTGGAAACGTCCACCGGCCCCATTTCGCCGAACCCGGTTGCCAGAACCCTTTTCATTCCACCACGGGCGAAGAAGGCGCCACCGGCAGCAGAGATGCTTGCGACCGGCCCCGGCCGCGTCATCTCGCGATCGCAAGCGCCGGGCCGCTGGCCAGTGGCCACCTTCCTCTCGGTTCACGATAACGAACCGCCTCGGCATTGGCCGTAAAGTCTCGCGTGCCTGAGTTTGTTTCTTAGGGTCGCGTGATGCCCGTGCTACAAGACTCCTGGCGATCAAGAGCCTCTTTCATTGGTTTCCAAAAGGATTAGGAGGGTTTAGGTTACCTTTTCCCAACGATGTGTCTGGCGGATTAGGTTCAGTTTGAGGGCAGCCAAAGCTTAAACTTGGAGCCACTCATCACCAGCAGACCAGCTTCTGGAATAACTGTCGTTTTTTTTTTGTGCCGCAAATTTGACTAGATTTGTAGAAAATGTGTGCAACATTTGTATATCCAAATAAATTTATTATAAAAATAGATTCAACGATCTATCTATCTACTGATATTAATTATGTATCATAAATATTAATATGTTTTATATAAAATTAGTCAAATTTATTTCTTGAGTAGCGAGAACGACATTTATTTAGTGACGGAGTGAGTACTAGCGAGCGCGATAGTACATTACAACAAAATTAATACCTTTTAAAATCTGGCTCTGTATTATTACTGGACGCTAATTGTTCTGACTCATTAGAAGACGAGTCGTGTGTCCACATCGCATATGAAACATGGAGGACGTGAGATTATTTTTGAAAGTAGAAAAAAAGACAGATAGAAGAATCACTTTTCTCTTTAAAATTAGATAGATATAGATATAGATATGAATATATAGATTTAGAAACAGAAATGATATTATAATAATTTGAACTATAAATTATAAAAATATACTTGGATCCTTAGATTATAGGTGCTGGATTATATAATTTGGTCTCCTATGTTAATTGGATTATTGTAATCCAACCTATAATCTAGGGTATCATGGGATATTTTTTTGAGCTATTTATTATGGGATATTTGAATCACTAGAGATTATTTATTTTTATCAACCAGGGCCTTAACTTACTGCTCACTAGCTTAGGGGGTTTGGTTCTTTAGTCGCTCCTAAAATTTATGTCACATCGAATATTTAGATGCTAATTAGGAGGACTAAACATGAGTTAATTATAAAACTAATTACATAGATGGATGCTAATTCACGAGACGAATCTATTAAACCTAATTAATCTATCATTAGCATATGTTCACTGTAGCATCATATTGTCAAATCGTGAACTAATTAGGCTTAATAGATTCGTCTCGTAAATTAGCATCCATCTATCGTAATTGTTTTTTAATTAATCTAGATTTAATGCTCGTTAGTAGTATCTAAACTTTCGAACGCCTTACTCTACTAACCTGCTGTCGTAATCCAGCGACGCAACCTGCTGCCTGCTGCTAATCCGTAGCTGTCTTGTCTTTAATTTAATCTCGCGGTGCCGGCGGGCGTGCGACGCATGCCGCGCTACCGGCCTCCGGCTCTCCGGCTCCGGGGTGGGTGGCCAACCGCCGCGGAGGCGGGGCCGCGTCGCGCTCACCGCGCTCGCAAATCATCGCGGATGGTGGCGCGCGGGGGCCGCACGCAGCCGCAGAGATCAATCGTCCAGTCGCCACGCGGGCCCCGCCAACACAGCAGCCTAATCTATCTCTCTCCCCGTTCTCCCTCGGGCGAGTCGGTCGAGGAGAACGCAGGGAGAAAGGGGGCCGAGGTGGCGGGCCCCGCAAACCGCTAGGACCTCTAGGGCTCTAGACCGGGAAGGTGATGATGTGATGGAGTGCGACGACCGGGAAGGTGATGATGCGGAGGCGACGACCGGGAAGGTGATGATGTGGGGGTTAAAGGATGGACTGGTACAGTTGGTGCAATGCGAAGTCCAAACTCAAAATGTTGATTAGTTTAGTTACATTAGAAATTTTGTCAGAGCGGTTTTAGATGACGGTTCTTGGGCAAAAAAACGGCTGCGCAGTCGGGAGAAGAATTCAGACACCCGCCCGAAACGAATAAAACGCCTGCGTGCGCGGTGCGGGGCGCCGCGTGCCACTGCCTGTCCGCACCCCTCTCTCTCATCATTTCTTCCACGATCTCGTTCCATCCTCTTCCTCTCTCTCTCTCTCTCTCTCTGTCTCGGCGCGGGCGCTATCTTTATCCGTCTCAGCCGGGGCGGGTCAGCACTCAGCAGGTGCGGGAGAAACAGGGGAGAAGGAGAAGGAGAGAAGCCGTAGGGCCGCCGCCTTCCCTGATCGACTGCTCCTGCGTGCGGATTCAGGTGCCGGGCTTTCCAGCCATGGTTCAGTGAGCCGGAAGGAATCCTTGCGCTGCCTGCCGGAGAAGGATCATATTCGTCAGCGGTTCGTCTCCTCTCCCTATTTCTCTGCATACGTTTGGTTCAGCTTGTGATTGCGGGAGAGTAAGTTTCCATTCTGATGTTCTTCCAGGGACAAGACAGGAGGTCCCTGCGTGCATCGATCGTCTCCCGAGTTTTAGAGAGCACCCTCCGCCTCTGGATTCATTGCTTCGATCGATTCATCAAACAAGTGCAGGGAGATCTTCACGAGAAGGTTCGTTGCCTTCCGTTCACCTTCTCTGTTTATGCTACCAGTCTACCACTATTGGTGCTTGTTGATTGTTTGTAGGGTTTCTTCTATTCTCTGCTGTCTTTCCCCTCTCTCAGTAAGTTCAGTTCAGACGATTGCTTTATTTTCTAGAACGTATAAGGATTTTTGTCATTTCCATGTAAGATGAGCGGTCCTGCTGTCTGATTTTGTACCTATATCGAGGAATCAATTGTTCTCCTACTCTTGTCCTGTTCTTTCCTGGGACCTAAAACCCCCACCTTTGTTTCTTCTACTAGGTCCACCCCTTATTATTATCTCATAAAAACAAAAGGGTCGACCTGTACTGTTTCTCTTCCCCTACTTGTATTTTTTTAATTTTTCATGCACGAGTACTCGACCTGGTTGCCATTCTTGACTCATGGTGTTCTAATAGTCGTTTCATGTCATCTAACTCAATGGAAAGACTTAGACAAGTGTAATTGATAGGGAATCATGTTACAAAGTAAATCTGCATTATCTAGTTTTTACTTTGGCGGGCATAGCACTTGCAGGATGTAACTATGCTTGGTTCATAGGGCTGAAAGTTTGTGAGTGTGGGGGTTAAAGGATGGACTGGTACAGTTGGTGCAATGCGAAGTCCAAACTCAAAATGTTGATTAGTTTAGTTACATTAGAAATTTTGTCAGAGCGGTTTTAGATGACGGTTCTTGGGCAAAAAAAGGCCAAATGTTTATTACTGTTTTTGAGGAAAAAACGCACGAATATTGACAGTACGTATCGTGCTGTGTCAAAGAGAGCAAGTATTGCAGTCAATATGCATTTAACTGAAGAAACATTTGTTTTATCTCAATAATAAATAAAAAAGGCATCATATCCACAAATTAATTGCCTTTTACCTACGGTGGGAGTTCAACTGCAATGAATGACATTTTGGTTCTTTTTTGAATGCCTCAATGTTTGAAAGAACAAAAAAGCAGATTTGACCAATTAATTGACTTCTGCGTATGTTGGGCAACTAGGAGTTAGCGTAGGACTAGCACCCTACATTCAGCCATGGATCACAGAATCTGAAGGTATTCACTATCAGGTCCACGAATGCTAATATTGGCCGTTGTTAAATGTTATTTAGGTAGAGTTGACCCTGTATGATGCTCTTGTTTGATTGCTGACTTTTGACATAGCGCATTCACCGTGCAAATCAATGATAATAGTTAATTACTGTAAGCATTGATGGCATGAATCTTTTCCAAAATGTCCAAATGTCATTTGCTCTTTGTTTTAGCTCAGGATAAAGGTAAATAGTAGTCAAACTTTTCACACAATTCAAATGATGAATAGATAAAGAAAGTTTGACTTTCCCTTTGCTGCAATGATCCATCATATCCTTTGAGATTAGACAGTTCTGGTTGACCTTAACTATTCTATCCTTGATAATTGGTAAGTAGCTAAGCATTCACTTAGGAAGTGCACTTGGACTTGATATGGTTTCAACAACACTATCCAGTGTCATCATAAGACTGAATTGCCACCCAGATTCTCTGACATTATAATATTTGTCTTGAACAGTGTCATCATCAAGATTGACAGTCTTCTTCGTGGATGGCGAACGGTTACAATGAAGTGATGGGTATATCTCAGCGCAAATCTTGCCCCAAGGTAAAGTATTGCCCTCCTGTTTCTAACAACAGTTTTTATTTTCATTCGAACATTAAGTGTATGGTCTTTCCTCTGCCATGCAAGTAGGAAAACTCTTTGCATGTGGCAACATGTTCATATTCCTTTTCGTGATGCTAATATGTGCCTCTGTGTCATGTTTTTTTTTGAGCAATGCCTCTGTGTCATGGTTGATCATGCAAATTTAAACACAAGTGAACTGTTGAATTTGCTGGACAATTTGAACTTGAATTGTGGTAGAAGTACAAATCCTTGTGTTATAAGGTCTGGTGACCTGACATTAAAGTGAGGAGCTCAGTTTACCAACCTTATCTTTTTCAACAATTTTGTTTCGATGCTATAAGCTGATGAGCATATTTCTACGAATGCTAATATTGGCCGTTGTTAAATGTTATTTAGGTAGAGTTGACCCTGTATGATGCTCTTGTTTGATTGCTGACTTTTGACATAGCGCATTCACCGTGCAAATCAATGATAATAGTTAATTACTGTAAGCATTGATGGCATGAATCTTTTCCAAAATGTCCAAATGTCATTTGCTCTTTGTTTTAGCTCAGGATAAAGTCAAACTTTTCACACAATTCAAATGATGAATAGATAAAGAAAGTTTGACTTTCCCTTTGCTGCAATGATCCATCATATCCTTTGAGATTAGACAGTTCTGGTTGACCTAACTATTCTATCCTTGATAATTGGTAAGTAGCTAAGCATTCACTTAGGAAGTGCACTTGGACTTGATATGGTTTCAACAACACTATCCAGTGTCATCATAAGACTGAATTGCCACCCAGATTCTCTGACATTATAATATTTGTCTTGAACAGTGTCATCATCAAGATTGACAGTCTTCTTCGTGGATGGCGAACGGTTACAATGAAGTGATGGGTATATCTCAGCGCAAATCTTGCCCCAAGGTAAAGTATTGCCCTCCTGTTTCTAACAACAGTTTTTATTTTCATTCGAACATTAAGTGTATGGTCTTTCCTCTGCCATGCAAGTAGGAAAACTCTTTGCATGTGGCAACATGTTCATATTCCTTTTCGTGATGCTAATATGTGCCTCTGTGTCATGTTTTTTTTTGAGCAATGCCTCTGTGTCATGGTTGATCATGCAAATTTAAACACAAGTGAACTGTTGAATTTGCTGGACAATTTGAACTTGAATTGTGGTAGAAGTACAAATCCTTGTGTTATAAGGTCTGGTGACCTGACATTAAAGTGAGGAGCTCAGTTTACCAACCTTATCTTTTTCAACAATTTTGTTTCGATGCTATAAGCTGATGAGCATATTTCTAGATTATTCTTATAGATCTGTTTTCCTAAATGTGTAAATACCATATTTGCTCTTTCCATTTCATCATCTTGTGCCTATCATTGATGTGATTCATGCTTTGCTGTTTTGATTTTTTAGGTTCACAGGTCAATGTGTAGTGAGCTGACAATGATGTTGGATAAGGTCTCTTCTATTCTTCCGTCAATAGAGGCTGCTCGACCAGGTTGTAAAGCAGGCATACAGGAATTATGCAACCTATACAATATTGTCGAGAAAGGGAGGCTCATAATCCTACACTGCATTGACTGTAGTAAGCTCTACTTGGTACGTTGTCTTGATGGGAAACTAAATATTCTGATATCCTAGGTATATTGTTTTCATGCCTTCTTTTTTTTTTTGATGATTTTGGATATTCATGATTCAGGCTATTACTGGAGAGACGATTGTAGCAAGATGTGAAAGGATCAGAGACTCACTGAGGCGGAGTTTGTTCCATATTCAGAATATGGTTCCACCAGCACTAGCTAATCAGGTTAGCTGATATGATTTCATGTTTTAGTCTTTTTTATCTGTAAAAGTCAGTTCAGTTTCTGCTACTATTGGTTTCAGAGCCAAATGACCAACTTGTCCCATTGCCACATTGTGTTCTGATAGTGTATAGAACAAAGTGCCATATCTACTTTTATAAAGTAGTGGTTATTTTTCCTTCAAATAATCTGTGTAATAAACTTCTGTAAATTGCAACCCAACCCGAGTGTGCTCATTTTTGCTCGCAGTTATTATGCGGGCATATGCACATGAATATATTGCTTTATCGTATAAGTTCATGTATTACAATTTGTTTGATTGTTACTGCATTACTGCATACAGATTGCTGAAGTCCATAATGATCTCCGGGATGTCAAATTTGTTCTTGATCCGATGGAAGAAGAGGCTGGCAAAGCCATTTTACAGATGCTCCGGCAGTCCGACGCAAGTGAAGAATTAGAACTTCAGACATTCCTGCAGGCTGCTTCAAAGTTGGAGCTGACATCTCCTAAAGCAGTCTTAATTGAAAGACGAGCAATCAAGAAACTGCTTGAAAATGTTAGTGGTAATGATCGAAAAAAGGAGGGGGTCCTTAAGTTTTTCCTGTACCTCATTAAGAAGTATGGAAAGAGCATCAGCCAGGACTCTGGTGAATGGAACGAGAATTTACAATCTGAAAGTCAATCTTTAACTCTGAGCACACCTTCCTGTGATGCCAGCGCTCCTGGAAAATGTTACACACCAACGGACTTTCAGATTTATGAGGATCACAGTAATGTGTCTGGATCAGCTACTCCACCTCCAGAGTTCTGCTGCCCAATATCAATAAAGCTAATGCATGATCCTGTTATAATAACATCTGGACAGACTTATGAAAGAGAATATATTGAGAGGTGGTTCAATGAAGGATATGATACTTGTCCTAGGACACAGATGAAGCTAGAGAACTTCTCCATGATCCCAAATACCTGCATGAGAGATCTCATTTGCAATTGGTGCAAAGAGCATGGTTTTACAGTTTCCGATTTTATTCCTCCAAGCGAAAATGCTTATGGTTACTTACCAGAGCAATTGCATGGTTACTCTATGTCAAGTTTGCACAATGTTTCAGTACCTCTCATTGCCGGAAAGGCCAACAGTTTTGTGATTGATCACAGCAATACATCTGTTGCATTATCTGATGCCAGTTATGTCTCTAATGCATCCCACGCTAGGGACATGGAGGATTCAAAAGATATTTCTCAGTTCTTTTGGAACGCCGACTATCAAAAGTATCTGTCGTTCCACAACTTCAACCAGGAGATGTTCCTGAACTTCTTTCATGAGCTGTCCATGCTCCCATTAGAGCTGCAGGACAAGTCAATTAAAGATTTGAAGAACGTTCTTGATTATGAAAGTGAGGTTTCATATGCTATGGTGTCAAATGGATTTGTTGAAGCATTCCTTGAATTCTTGAGAAACGATACTGGGAGCTACAGTGTGCAAGCTCAGGAAGCTGGATTTCAGTTTTTTCTTGCTTTTCTTTCCAATAGCAGGTAAGGTCACTTATTCTGATCAATATGCACCCTTTGCTTTGTTACTCTTATGTTGGGCGTTCAGTGACATTAACATATGTATTTCCAACCTTGTAGTATAAAATGGCAAAGTAGGCCGACGACACTTACAATCAACCTGCTTTATCACTATACTATGTATTCTGTTACTAAGTTAAAGAAGTTGGTGTTGGGCAGTCAGTTATATTCATACATCATATTTCACGAGATTATTTTCAAACATATCTTTTCTAACATGTAGGGCTAAAGTTCAAGCTATGAATGAAGAATTATTTCATCTGATCACATCCTTCCTTGACTCTGATCTAAAAATTGAAGCTTTGTTGACGCTGCATGAGTTGATTAAGCACTTGAGTTGTCCAAGATCTCATGTGATGGCCTCTGCTGTTAGTCCTCCATTGTTCAAAATACTGGCATCTGAAGATACTGAAGGCCTTGAATTGGCTCTGAAGATCATCTGCGAGCTTTCATCTGACACTGATATAAGATCGTCATTAGTTTCAATGGGAATAATCTCAAAGCTTGTTCCCATTTTCACTGAAGGAAACTTTGTTGAGTGCTATTTGAAGATTTTGCAGAACTTAAGCGACATGGAAGAAGCTGTAGTGCAGATTACAAGAACCGATCGGTGTCTTGCTTCTGTAGCAGAATATCTGGACACAGGAAGCCCTACAGAGCGAGAGCATGCGGTGGTTATACTTCTAGCAATATGTTCCTGTAGTGCCGAGGATTGTCTACTTGTAATGAAGGAAGGTGTGATCCCTGCCCTAGTGGACTTGTCGGTGAACGGAACCGAAGAAGCGAAAAGCTGTTCGACGAAGCTACTTCATCTTCTCCGGGACATGAGGCGAAGCGACCAGTTCACTAACTCACGTTCACAAGAAGTGGCTGCCACAGGCACGGTAGAGGATGCTCCCAACAACTCAGTTCACAAGCAGCCGGTGTCAAAGTCGTCCAGGTTTTTTCAAAGAAAGCTGAACATCTTCTCAAAACCCCGGTCACTCACGCTGTTCTGAGAACCGGTTTAAGTTTGTTGGAGTTGGTAGTCCTTTTAGTGGAAAGCGAGTAGTCCTTGACTCCTTGTACATGCTACAAACTAACCACCTTCTTTATAGATGGTAGCGCTTGTATTGTCCCGAATGAGATGCTTGATGAGATGATAGTTTTTCATCCTCATGTATTTCAGTAGAGCTTGTTAGTTGCTATAGCACTGTTCTTTGTGTGAAAGTCAGTCAGATATATCTCTTTTCTCTTCGGCGGGAAGCCTGCCGTTTTGTATCTGGCTGTTCCCAAGATACCTTTAAAGCCTGAATAGAAGAAGCTTGTTTCCAAGATCCTGTTCATATTTTCCCATTACTTGATACTAGTTGGCATAGAATACTGCCCTCTGCAACCTAATTTGATGCTGTTATTTACTCTATCTACATGCTGTGGGGGTGTGGGCGTTCTGAAAGTTCACTTACAGAGTCAGGTCCCTTTCCAGACGAGGGGAACAGAACAAACCTCCCATGATCCCATCCCATTGGCTGCCCATTCCAATTAACGCCGTGTTTAGTTACCCTCCAATTTTCAAAAAGTTGCTACAGTACCTGTCACATCGAATGTTTACGGCCCATGCATGGAGCATTAAATGTAGACGAAAAGAAAAACTAATTACACAGTTTGGTGGGAAATTGCGAGACGAACGTTTTGAGCCTAATTAGTCCATATTTGAACACTATTTGCCAAATAAAAACGAACGTGCTACAGTAGCCCCAAAATCCAACTTTCTCCAACTAAACAAGGGCTAAGCTCACATCACATGGGGGCTACATCTCCAGTTCCATCCGAGTCGGCGGCCTCGAGTCAAGTCAGGTCATTACCCCTTTCCCCCCGGCTGATGATGAGTGTGATGAGCGATCCATCACTGCACTGCACTGCACCCGTCGGTCTTCGCCCAGGTGCAGCGCACGGGAGTGGGAGTCCGGTCGCTCGATAGTTTCTTCAGTGCCAAGGCACTATCACGAAACTCACGATCATCTGGCGACCTAGCTCCGAATCTGTCGCAGGAGTTTTTGAAGCAGTACCAACATCTCCATGCCCATGCTCCATACATACATGCATGTTCCCAAACACCGCCTTTCGTCGCCTGTATGTGCCGATCTGCGTCCCTCGCCTATGCCCATGGACTGCTGCTCGTCCTTGTCGAATCATCGTGAAGCAGCACGGCATCGCTATACACTTCGTTTGATCAAAGTCCTGTTGGAGTAATCTGTAACCGCATATGGGCTGGCTTTCACTGTCGAAGCCTTCCTTTCAGCCTGGATGGCAGCAGTCACGGCACAGGCTTTACTGATCTGCCTTTCCTGGATGACATGCCTGCCTGCCTACCGGCCTGCTACGCGCGTCGAGATCCTGCACTGCGCTGAAATCTGAATGATTCTTCCTGCACTGCAGTCTGTTGCAGTGCACATCAGGCCGTTGCGGATGCGGCTTCGCGATCCCCGGCCCATGGCAGCTGGAGCGCACGCAGGACGCCGCCGGCCGGTCTCTCTCATTCAGCGATCGATCGAGCGACGCCCTAGGGCTGCTGCTCCTTTCCTTTCCCTAGTCCCCACTAGCTAGCTAGTGGCCTAGCTAGCCTAGACCTAGCCTCTCCTCCGCGCCCAGGTTCGGTGCATCGTCATCGTGTGCCCGAGGGGCAAGGGCTGGGTCCCTTTCATTCCCTGCTGAGTGCGCGGCGACCACGCCTGCCTGCCTGCCCGCACTGGCGCCCTCTGCCCCTCAAGGATGCTGCACGGGCACGGCGGCGCGCGGCAGCAGCAGCAGCTGCCGCTGAAGACGACGCGACGGCTCCTGCCGATCAGGAGATGCTGATCGAGCGCGAGGACTCGGGCGAGGGCCGGGTGTGCGCTAGCCAGCCAGCCGCGTGGGCGGGCCGTGAGTGGCGACACGTACTGTCTCGGCGACGGCGACCGCGGCTAAGCAGGTTCAGGTATCGCGACTCGCGAGGGGGATGCACGGCAGGATCGGTGTGGCGCAGCGCAGGGGCAGGATGGGATATTTGGTGGTGGCCATCATGCTTTGGTTGCGGCTGCAGAGTGAGTCGTGACATGGCTGAGGTTGATGGCAGCAGGTTGCCGACACCCTGATTATATTAAATAAATCATCATGGGAACCAGCAGAGTCTCATAATTTGAACTCTGGATATTTGGATTGGATCGGAGGGAACAGTGATCAAGAGATGTTTTTAGCAGAAAACCCCTCTAGTGGAGGTATATTTTAATAATTTCCCTGACATATCTCTTGTTTCATTCATAGTTATGGAAATCTTAAGAAAGATCCACTTGCAATTATTGAAGAAAACATGATCTTCAGGCCTCAGCCAGGGCTAGTTATTAGTTGGGACTAAAAACATAATCCTTCAGCTAGGGCTAGTAATAACTAGTTTGAGACTTAGCTAAAAAAAATAATGCTTTAGGAAAAACAATAATGTTTTGGCTGATCTAGATATACACCCATTCTTCAGGACAATATTAATCCAAACGTATTGTTTTATTATTTGAGAATAAGATTCTGAGTTTCTAACTAGGACTCGGCTTAGCTAAAAGAACGTAATGGGAAAGTTTGGTTTAGCTTGTTAAGGCTGGGAGGTAGTAGTGAGTTCTGAAAGCCTACTCAGGCGTCAGGCCCTCAGGAGGTTGAAGCACCGTTGGTGGACACATGTTCTTCAGCGATGGTTGCTCAGTGGACGACAGACTCGCCTCTGTTGTCACCGGTGCAGGGCTCCCACAGCTCACGCCACCACGGGTGGGACAACCCGATGTCGCTGAAGAGAGCACGGCGGGCACGCCCACCCCAGCGACACAACGTGAGGCTGCTCGGCGTCTCGCACGGTTCACCGAAGAGGTGCAGCTCAAGCGACAGTCGTCATTAATTGTCAGTCCACCAAGGCAGAAGGAGGCAACCATAAGGCAACCCCTACTAGTTAGGAGCAGACGGATTGTCGCTCAGCTACTGGCGCACATACCGACCCCCAAATGGGGCGAGGTACTCCTCATGTAGAAGATGGGCATCGTGCCGCCGACAGGTCCAGTTTCATCCGTGTCCAAGGGAACATACGACGCCATATTCGCAGGGAACTTGACGCTGAGCCACGTGGCAGCTCTATACGAGCTTTTCCCAGTGACCAACAACAGGGCTGGTCGAAGAGCGCTCTTCTCGGCTAGCGGAGTAGGGTCGCGCAGCCGGCAGCGGAGAGGGCCAACTCCGTAGGTTGCTGCGTTGCTCTTAGTTCGGTTGTATACCATTTATGTAATATCGAAGTTTGAAACAGTCTACTAGGAAGGTCCAGCCAAAACGGTAAGACCACCTAGGGTGCTCATCAGAAGCGTGTCGTTTGTATGGTTAAACCTTTCTTATTAATTACCATGATATGTAAATCTTTTGTGTATTCGAGAGAGAAAAAAGTGTGTTGAGGGTGAGTTTTAGTTTTCTTTTGAACTTATGGACGGGTGAGCTCCACCTGTCTGCGATATCGAATATTTGGTGTCTTTGCTAATGTTAAGACAGGGGTTGTGCCCTATAATTCTAAAAAAACTAGGGCTCGCCTTATATTTCAGAAGGCTATATGATGACTATGAGTCCGCCGCTGCGATTGGTCAAAACCACGATCGAAGAACTATTTAAACTGAAATGGGGAAAGAACAGTTGGATCTTGTATGGTTTCCATTTCAGCAGTTTGGTGTCCCTGTTCCCCCGGTTGTGACATTGTATCTTGCCCTTATATTCACAGCTGTGGCGAGGCCAAAAGACGCATGGGACAGAAGAGAGCCACCCGAAAGTGTAGCAGAGGTATAGATATAGATGCTCCTCCAGTCCTCCACCTCTAAATAAATCTCAGGGCGCCGGGCCTATTTTGGATTGGACACCAACAGGCTTGACGATGACCGGATGCTGCTGCATGCACCTTATGATTGCCCCTTGAAGGTTTCTCGTGCAAGCTTCACTGTCTTCCAAAACTGCTACCTCCATCATTCAAGTAGATAGTTGAGTACCTCTAAAACAAATATTGGTTAATAACACCATTATTTGTGCCACTCCAGGATGAATAACTGACATGTGGGGTGTAGGGACACATGTAGAATTGAGATATTATTATTTTCTGAAAGTAAAGGGAGCACTGTGCCATTCAATTAACATTAGGTGATTTCTTTCCTTCCAAATGTTTCACGTAATGGCGTTTCCGCACGAATTGAGCTATGCCATTCAATGAGACATTATTTTGAAGTGGAAAACATGAATATGCGCACGAATTGAGTATTATGTTCTCAATTGCGTCTAAAAATAAAAAAAAGGGGCTATAGAAACTTGTGTATATGGTTTTGTTGTCCTAGCTACATCAAATCATCAGGTGTAAGTTCAATGTTTAAGATGCCGTTTTGCTGCACTACATCAGGTTTGCTTGTTTCTTTCTTGGTTCAAATGCACTGAATGCAATGTAAAGACCTCTGTTTGTGATGAGTGGAAACTCCAACAATCAGCATAATAATGCTGGTGTTCAAATCATGGCCACTCAGATTCACCCAAGTGACTCTTTTTCTGCAGAAAACGAAACTGTAAAGATGAGGTGGGTGTGGTGCCACCGTGCTAAGCTGACACTGCATCCGAACAAAAGTTGGAGTGCCCATGATAATGAAGCAAGGTGAGGTGCATCGTTACACAGGAGATGATGAGAGTACTAACAATCTCTAGGACTGGAGTAATCCAGTCGGTTTCAATCAAAGTCCTGGGAAAAAGATAGTGCTCTGCTCGATCCATGAATGTGTGATGGCCTGATGGGAATGACACATCTCTGGTCACTTTTGAGGGATAGGCTAACAAGAGTAGTTGACAAGGAGATGCAACAAGCAGAGAGAGTGGTGGAGACATCTTAATACCCATTAGTAGTAGTAGTTCATTTTATGAGGCACGAAAATGGTTATCCTTTTTGTCTATGGTCTTGTGTACTAAGGTGCATAATCCGAATCTTATAGATGTCTCGCTCATGTATAGCAGACTCGCAGGGCAAAATAAGACCTCAAGTTGCAGACATACAATTTTGATCACACAGCCACCTCTTCATGAAAGCAGAATACAAAATGTATGTAACATTAATGTGTGAATTTGATATATCCCCTCAGTTCGGAGCGATGTAAATTCCTAATAGTAATGCTAAAAAACAAAATCGAACTGTTCATCTTTCCATCTGCTGTACTTCTTCCAGCTGCTATTGCTTTCAGGTTTCTATAGGCTAATTTAGCACGCTGTCCTCTCTCTCTCTCTCTCTCTCTCTCTCTCTCTCTGCAGATGCCGTCCTACCATCTGTCCACCGGACGAGGACGCCACTTGGACGCATGGACCAGCCAGCCAGCAGCCATGGCTGCAGGTTGGGTTAGCTGGCCGTGGCAGGGCCAACGGATCATCACCGGGGTGCTGGATCGTCGTCGTCCCGCGGCGGCAAGCGGCATCGGCATGCACGGCGCATGTGGGGTGTCCGCCCAGGGGTGGCTTTCAGGGCCCCTGTTGGGCTGCACCGGCAGAGATCCCCTCTGCCCCGCCTCCCGCCGGCAGCGACAAATAGAAGACAACCCACAACGCCCCCACGCCGCCTGCACCGTGGCTCCGCCACCCCCCCAACGGCCTGCGCGCAGAGGGAGACGCCGGCTGCAGCAAGGGCCCATGCCCCAGCAGACGCTTGCATTGTACATACTCCTGCGTGCATGGTGGGGTCAGTGATGCATGTGCCTTCTAGACGAATGTATTTTTATTGCAAAGACATGATTTTTTTATTGGGGAAAAACTAAGAGTAGGGAAAAAATTGACATTTTACTTTGTATAGATATGCGTGGCATATACAGGACTGCAAAAGGCTCGAGCACACTCGTGGTCTCACAAAGCGCAGGCACGAGCTTTCCCACTAGGACACTATAGCACATTTGCGTAAGGTCGGCATCGATCGACATTGTTAGGTGTACTCGTGCTCTCTACGTACATAGCTAACACACCTAACAGGGCATGCATGCATATGGTTCCATTATTGTTCTTTTGCTTGACTTGCATCGAGTGCATGGCAATTACCAACAAGATATATACAAGACCAACAGCCCTTTATGGAATTACTGCAGCGATTGATCGATCCATGCATGCGCTGATGACTCATCACAGACATGCATGGGCGCCAAGAGCACAGCTAGGTGATGGCCTGTGGCCCGTGGGCATGGAGCCTTCCCGCGCGCCGAGCAGTCATAGCCAGCCAAGCCGGCTTGTAATACTGGCTAGGCCGGCTTTGGCAGAAGCCTACAGCTTAACTGTGCTTTAATTGCTAATTTGTTTAAGACATTTTTTGTAGTGCCTATTATTGTCAGTGAATTTAAAACATAAAATATTATGTTGTTATTTTATATTAATTCTTTTCAAATTGATGGTTAAAGATAAATATATTTGACTTAAAAGTTAGGACAAAACTAATATGACAACAGGGAGTACCGTACCGTAGTGATGTCTACCGTTAATTTTTACACATTAGAAGTGACGGGATTTATCTTGTTTTCGCCTAAAGAACCCGCCGTCTTTGTACGAATCACTATAACGTGTTCTTTTTAGTTGAGACGGAACGGAACCAAACTTTATTTAAAATCATGTAGCCTGGCCGCAAAAACAACAGAAGCTTAGGTAAGCACTAAGCAGGCATTAGTCTTCTGCCTTGTGCATGCATGCAATGTATCGCTACTCGGCTACACTGTCCTAGAACAACGCGAGATTGTTGCGAGGGGACTTATCATTTAGATGGAGCCACATAGGACACAGCACCATAAATAGCATCTCCATGACTCCATACAGGCCAAAATATAAATCCTCAGCTTCATCCTTGCTCTGCCAAGTGAAAGCCGCCGGTTCTAGTCTTTGGACGTCCCGGTTCAATTATTTTTCTGGAACGATACGCCATGCCCTGTCTTCACTCGATTTTCAGCTTTCAAAACGCGATGATAGATCTCAGAATGCTATGCTTCCTGATTCGTATCAGGAGTCACTAGAGTCAGGCCTGATCATTGCTGGACCTGGCTATGTGCAAGTGTACAGTGCCCGTCGTAGTACTCCTTTGCTCCATTTTTATTTTAAGGAAAGATTCCTTTTCTTCCATTTTGATCATGGGAAAATTGCTTTGTATATATGTCCACTTAGAGTGCCATCCTGATCCATAAGCTCAATCTGTTCAATGGAAATTATTTAGTACACATTTTTTATTTTTCTTGGTAAAATATGTCTAACTCTAGTAGAGATAATAAAAAGGGATAATTGTCTGTTGGACATCCAAAGTGATGGTCATTTGCTGGTGGACACCCACTTTAGAGCATTTTGTCATAAGACACTCTGGTTCGGTGAAATTAGGCCACAGGACACCGCGGACCGGTTGCAACCGGTTGAAGAGAGAGAACAACGGTGAAATGACATTCTTGTCCCTGCCGCTTTCTTCTTCCTCTCTCCCTTTCTCTTTTTTTCTGTTTCTTGTCCCTGCCACCCTCTCCTCCTCCCGCACCCGCCGGCGTAGGATGGGCCCACGGTCGTGCGCGTCACGGCGAAGCAGTGGGGGCCGTCCACACTGGGCCCGCCGAAGAGGTGCAGCAGCCCGCCGAGGGCCTCCTGGTAGGCGCCCCCGAGGAACATGCCCAGGTAGTAGCCGCAGGTGGCGTGGGTGGGGAGCTCATGCAGCGGCAGGCTGTGCCTCCCGCCGATGAACTCGCTCACCTTGCCGTCGCTGTCGCAGGTGAGGTCCGAGAGGACACCGTCGATGGCGGGGCGCTCCTGTAGGCGCTGGATAGGGATGATGGGGAACTGCTGCCCGATGGCCCACATGTCCGGCAGGGAAGTGAACACGGACAGGTTGATGTGGTAGGTGCGCGGCGGCTCGGGCGCGCCTATGCCACGGGCGATGAGCTCGCAGAAGGTGTCCACCGCGGCCAGGTACTCCCGGCCAAGAACCCCTCCTTGAACTGCTCGGCGAAGCGCCGCTTCAGCTGGTCCACGTACAGGCCACAGGTGTCGTAGTCACCGCGCACGGCGGTGGTCATGACGTTGCGATAGTCGGCGTGGCAGTCGTCGGTGAGCTCGTCGAGGAGGTAGGTTGTGGCCACGTCCAGGATGCCGGGCGCCGTAGCCAAGAAGGCCTCGAACACTAGGACCGAGTGGTGGGACACTAGAGCGCGGCCGCTCTCGCTGCAGATGATGGGGTGCTGCACCCCCTTGCGGTCACAGACGCGACCGATAGCGGCCACCACAGCCGCCACATACTCCTCCAGGCTGTATGCCATCGACATGTCGGTCTGTGCGGAGTGAGTTCCATCGTAGTCAATGCCGAGGCCACTGCCGACGTCGATGACACGCATGTCCATGCTAAGGCGGGCGAGCTCGCAATAGATCTGCGTGGCCTCGCCGACGCCATCGGAGAACGGGGCAGTGGTCGGGATCTGGGAGCCAATGTGGAAGTGTAGCAGCTAGAGGCAGTCGAGCATAGCAATGGCCTTGAGCTTGGTGACCACGGACAGTATCTGCGTGGCGTTGAGGCCGAACTTGCCCTTTTCCCCGGACGTGGAGCTAAAGTGGCTGGCGTGCTTGGTGCGCATGCCGACGACCGGGCGCACGGCGAGGCGGCGGCTAGCATCGACAACAATGTCGAGCTCCTCCTCCTGCTTGAGCACGATGACGGTGTTGAGGCCTATGGAGCGCGCCATGAGCGCGAGCGAGACATAGCCATCGTCCTTGTAGCCGTTGCAGATGAGTAGGGCGTCCGGGTTGCCGTGCGCAGCGAGGTAGCTCAGGGCGAGCAGCAGCAGGCGGGTGCGGAGGCGGAGAGGGTGGCGGGGACAGGAAACAGAAAAAAGAGAAAGGGAGAGAGGAAGAAGAAAGCGGCAGGGGCAAGAATGTCATTTCATCGCTGTTCTCCCTCCTCAACCGGCTGCAACCGGTCTGCGGTGTCCTGTGGCCTAATTTCACTGAACTAGAGTGTCTTTCGAGTAAAATGCTCCAAAGTGGGTGTCCGTCAGCAAAGGACCATCACTTTTGAAAGCTCTAGTTTGGTTTTGATGAATTGATAAACCCTAAGTGCTAACCTAGTTTATCAAGTGATCATAAGACATGTAGCACATTCCAAGTGGTGAAGAAAATGAAGATCATGACATGAAGTTGGCAATGCCATGGTGATGATCAAGTGCTTGGACTTGAAAAGAAGAAAGAGAAAAACAAAAGGCTCAAGGCAAAGGTATAAATGATAGGAGCCATTTTGTTTTGATGATCGAGACACTTAGTGAGTGTGATCACATTTAGGATTGATAGCCGTACTATTAAGAGGGGTGAAACTCGTATCGAAATGTGGTTATCAAAGTGCCACTAGATGCTCTAACTCATTACATATGTATTTAGGATCTAGTGGAGTGCTAACACCATTGAAAATGTTTGTGAAAATATGCTAACACATGTGCACATGGTGATACACTGGTGGTTGGCACATTTGAGCAAGGGTTAGGAACTTCACCGGTGGAGTGTCTGCCCGTAAAGTGCGGACAGTCTAACGGTGCCACCGGTGCCCTAGACAGAAAAGACGGAGGTCATTGTAAGTGACCGGACGCTGGTCCCGGAAGGACCGACGCATCCGGTCAGTTGAAGCTATGAAGGTGCTGGCATCGGTCTCTGACCGGACGCTGGGTCACTTAGTGACCAGACGCTAGAGGGGTGCGTCCGGTCCTGCTGACGTGGCAGCACACAGAATAGTCATCGTGTGACCGGACGCTGGGTGAGTCCGGTTGAGCTTGACCAGACACGTCCGGTCATGAAAAGTCATCTCTGGATGCTTACTGAAAACGATCAGACACTGGGGTTCAGCGTCCGGTCACTTTGAGCTGCTGCGTTCGGTCGTCACTTGACCGTTGAGATCAGGCGATCAACATTTGAAGAGAGGGGACACGTGGCACGCATCGCATGACCGGATGCTGAGGTCCAGCATCCGGTCAATATGGTCGGAGCGTCCGGTCACCCCATGTTGTGCCCAATGAAGGGGTACAATGGCTCTATTTCGTGGGGGCTTCTATTTAAGCCCTATGGCCGGCTCAAGCTCACTCTCTTGGCCATTTGCATTGACATAACAACCTTGTGAGCTTAGCCAAAGCCTTCCCACTCATCTCCATCATTGATACATCATCTTTGTGAGATTGGGAGAGAATCCAAGTGCATTGCTTGAGTGTTTGCATCTAGAGGCACTTGGTGTTCGTGTTTCGCTGTGGGATTCGCTTGTTACTCTTGGTGGTTGCCACCACCTAGATGGCTTGGAGCAGCGAGGATCATCGAGCGGAGGGTGGTGATTGTCTCCGGCTCCGATCGTGGTGATTGTGAGGGGTTCTTGACCTTTCCCCGGCGGAGAGCCAAAAGGTACTCTAGTGAATTGCTCGTGGCTTGTGTGATCCTCATCTTGTGGTGGTTGTGCGGCACCCTATTGAAGGTTTGGCGTGTGATGCCAATTAGCATGTGAACCTCCAAGTGAGTGAATTGCCATAACGAGGAGTAGCTTGCTGGCAAACAAGTGAACCTCGGTAAAAAAATCATTGTGTTCATCATTTGATTCTGAGGTGATTGGTCTTCATTGTTATTTATTCTTGTGATTGATTGGCTCCTTCCTCGACACAGCGGTATAACCTACTTACTCACTCTCTTTACATTACCGCAAACTAGTTGTCAAGCTCTTTAGTGTAGCTAGTTGTGAGAGCTTATTAGTTTGGTTAGTGTGACTCTTTAGTTAGCCTTTCAGAGCACACTAACTTAGTGTAGTGACATAGCTATTGTGTGGATAGAAACTATATCAACTAGAATTGTGGTAGGTGGCTTGCATTTTGGTAGGCTAGAGCAACACTTGCTTCATCTCATAATTGTCTAACCGGTTTGCTAAGTGTTGTTGTAGAAATTTTTATTAGGCTATTCACCCCCCCTCTAGCCATTAGGACCTTTCAAGTGGCATCGGAGCCGAGATCACCGTGATTTGAGGCTTAACAACCTTTGGTGTAAAAATAGCTCAAATCAACAACACAAAGAAGCCACCCCAATTTGATGGCACAAATTATCCTTATTGGAAGTCAAAGATGACCACACATATCAAGTCAATCAATAGAAAGGTGTGGAAGGTGGTAGAAATCAAAATCGAGATTGAAGATCCGAAGAATCCCATCACGGCCGAAGAAGTGCTTCTCTAAAACAATGACATTGCTCTAAGTGCCATTCATGATGCAATTGATGAGAGAACATTTGAGCAAATCAAGAATATTGAGATGGCTCATGAAGCTTGGAAGAAGTTGGAAGAATTATTTGAGGGCACTCGAGCCGTGAAGGGTGCAAAGGCATACATTCTTAAAGAGAAGTTTGCAAGCTTCAAGATGAAGGAGGATGAGAGTGTGCCGAGATGTTTCATAGGCTTCAAGTGATTGTCAATGATCTCAAAGCACTTGGAGAAGAAGTGAAGGATAAGGACTTCTCCCACAAGTTCTTGAGATGCTTGCCTTCAAGATTTGGCACATTGGTCACTATTCTAGTGAGGAGTGGTTTAGACACCATGACACCAAACCAAGTGTTGGGAGATATAATGACCGATGATACATATAGAGATGATGATGAGAAGGAAGAAAAGAAGGAGAAAAAAATGAGAAGAAAGATGAGAAGAAGAAGAGTGTGGCATTCAAAGCCACATCATTCAAGGGTAAGGCAAGGCAAGGCAAGAAACATCAAGTGAAGATGATGGCTCATGGGATGATGATGATGATGAGAAGATGGCTCTCTTTGTAAAGAAATTTGGCAAGTTCATAATGAAGAAGGGCTACCGTGCTAGAAGAAAGAAGTCTTCATTCAAGAACAAAGAAGAATCAAGAAGGTGCTTCAAGTGTGGAAGCAAAGATCATCTTGTTGCTCAATGTCCATACAATAGCGACAATGATGATGACGACAAGAAGAACAAGAAGAAGGACAAGAAGGAAAAGAAAGAGAAGAAGGACAAGATGACCTTCAAGAAGAAGAAGGGTGGTTCATATGTGGTCACTTGGGATAGTGATGCCTCCTCGAGTGATGATGATGATAGTGATGATGACAAGACCACCAAGAAGAAGGCACTTGCAAGCATTGCTATCAATGAGAAGCCTTCTCTCTTCGATACTCCATCATGCTTCATGGCTAAGGCCACTAAGGTACAAACTTGTGATGATGATGGAAGTGATGATGAACACGATAATGAAAATGATAGTGATAGTGATGATGATGAACCTACTAAAGATGAATTATTTGACATGCTAAAAGATGCCAAAGAACACTTTAATATTAAGAGAAAGAAATGCAAGAGCTTGAATAAGGAGGTAAAAGCCCTTAAGCAAACCCTTGATGAGCTCAAAGCAACTCATGAGAGGCTAGAGGAAGCCCATGAGAAGCTTGGCAAGGCTCACAAAAAACTTGAAAAGACTCATTTCTCTTTGCTTGATGAGCAAAATAAAAAGAATCATGTTGATACTTATGATGTAGGCTTAACTTGTGATATATTTGATGAATCATTATCTATGCCTATCATTGTTGCTCCCACTAACCCTTCTTGTAGTACTTCTACTTTCATCTCATCTAGTAGTGATGGTTTCACTTGTGATGCCTCACTAATGGTTGAGAATGAGAACCTCAAGAAGGAGGTCAACAAGCTCACTCACACCTTGGCTAAGGCCTACGATGGTGAGGACCGCTTGCTTATGTGCTTGGGTAACCAAAGAGCTTCTCTCTACAAAGAGGGATTAGGATATACCCCCAAGAAAGGCAAGGCGGCCTTTGCTACTTACAAGACTAGTTTTGTGAAGAACAATGGTCGGTTTTGCACTAGTTGCAAGCAAGTTGGTCATGTAGAGCAAAACTGCATGAACAAGAAGCCACAAGCTAATGTATTCTCCATTAAGCTTGATTCCTTCTATGTGCTTACTAAGGGTACAAATGGTGTGAAGGCTAAGTTCATTGGTAAACCATGGATGGGCTCAAAGAAGAAAGCCATTTGGGTACCAAAGAGCTTAGTGACTAACCTTAAGGACCCAAGCAAGTTTGGATACCTAAAAAGAATTGATCTTCTTTTGTAGGTCAATTACAAAGTCGGAGGAAGGCATTGGGTTCTTGATAGTGGGTGCACTCAACACATGATCGGTGATGCAAGAATGTTCAACTCAATCAACACCAATGGCAATGATGGTTATGATAGTATCATATTTGGTGACAATGCCAAAGGCAAGGTCAAATGGCTTGGTAAGATTGCAATATCCAATGATATGAGCATATCCAATGTATTGCTAGTAGAGAGCTTGAACTTCAATTTGCTATCCGTGGCTCAATTGTGTGATCTTAGATTCAAATGCATATTTCGGGTAGATGATGTAGAAATCATAAGTGTAGATGGCTCAAATTTGATCTTCAAAGGCTTTAGATATGAGAATCTATACTTGGTTGATTTCAATGCTAGTGAAGCTAGATTATCAACATGCTTGTTCACTAAGTCTAGCATGGGATGGTTATGGCATAGAAGGCTTGGTCATGTTGGAATGAAACAATTGAATAGATTGGTTAAGCATGACTTGGTTAGAGGCTTGAAAGATGTTGTGTTTGAAAAGGATAAGCTTTGTAGCTCTTGTCAAGCCGGCAAACAAGTTGGAAACACCCATCCTAAGAAAAACATGATAAG